GATGTATGATCTTTTGGCAGTTCTCAATGCCCTAACGTAGTCCTTGGTGCAGGTGGTCAGAAGTGCTCAGTTCGCCTCGGACTTATCGGACCTCCACTGGTGCTCTAGGCATCTCCTCCGGCGTTTCTTCTCCCGGAGCTCCTCGGTAAACCAAGGGGGCCTCCGGGATCCACTGACCCGGAGGGGCCGTAGTGGCGCAATCCGATCAAGAGACTCCGACGCCGCCGAGTGCCAGGCGGCAACCAGAGTCTCCGCCGAACTGTGGGCGAGTGGGTCAGGAATGAACCCAAGCTCCGGCTGGAACCTCAATGGGTCCATAAGTCGCCTGGGGCGGAACCACCTGGTCGGTTCCTCCTCCCTACGGTGGGAGGGTACAGTATAGCAAGACATATCCTTCATAGATCATTCTATCTGGCATCCAGATCAGCATATTTGAAACAGAGAAAATAATTATCTTAAAGTGCCAGTTTTCCTTCTCTAGACAGCTTCCTAATATGGTTCATGGTAGGTGCACAAAATACCTCAGTCAAAAATCTCTACATAGCTCCCATTTTCCTTCCCCTGAAACCTTTCTCTAAACTAGTTTGTTAAAGTCTCACTCTGAAGAACAAGATCTTGCATTATTTTCTGCAAATATCAGTCACATAATTTACCTCTACATGATAAATTAATAATGGTTTTATTGGATTCCTATTCCCAAGAACTCAGCTTGAATAATTGTGATTGTAAAAATGGCATGAAGTAGAGTGCATTTGAGATTCAATTTATGAGAATGAACCCCAAGTCGTTGCTTGCCCCAAGTCTGAGAAGAACATAAATTGTCTTAAGAGAAACTCATCAAGCCTTAGTTCATTTTATCATGGTACCGCAAGAGCAACATATCTCTGAGAATATAAGATGTGACAGGATAACAGGCAGGGAAATTTCAGCATCCAAGTTAAAGAATTTTGGTGACAATAAGTTATCAGTCCTATAAGTTCCAAAATAATAGTGATTATGATTTTTATTTAAAATGTAGTAGAAATCTAAAAAAATAATATGCTTTGTTATTCTAAGGGCTTACTGGATTTGAAGAGTAGGTTTGACCGCTTCCTTCAAGAATCTTTTAATAATGACAGGCTCTTCAAACAAACAATTGCGGGTGATTTTGAATATTTCCTTAACCTCAACTCTAGATCTCCAGAGTATCTCTCATTATTTATTGATGATAAGCTAAAAAAAGGAGTCAAGGGAGTAAGTATACTTTCGATTACAACTATGCAGTTTTTCTCACAAAACAGCTACAAAGATATACATTTCTATATGCTAATTTACTTCCATTGTGCAATTATAATTTTTACAAATTAATGTGAATATTAAAAAAATGTGGATATTTTTTTAAAACTAGACTGAATAAGTTCCTTTTAGGACTGTAAACCTCTGCAAAATACTGTATGCATGTGCACATACTTATACCATATTGAAATGGAATATAGGCTTTCATAAATATATTCCATTGTCAGAATTAAGTATGTATATAGAAAATAGCTGAATACCCATGCTCCTCTACGAAACTATATGATCGATATTATAAATTGACACTTACACCTTGAAAATTAATGAGTAGTTACCATCAACCTCTCCTCTCCCCTTCTCTCCCTCAGCCTTGCCCCACAGAAGCCTCCTGTATCCTGTCCCCTTCTCTTCTTCAGCCTTGCCCCACAGAAGCCTCCCGTATCCTATCCCTTTTCTCCCTCAGGCTTGCCCCAGAGACGCCAACCTATCATCACCTTCTCTCCCTCAGGTATGGCCCACCGAAGCCCCACCTATCTTATGACCTTCTCTCTCAGGTTTGCCCCATAGAAGCCCCACTTATCTTATCACCTTCTCTCCCTCAGACTCCTCTCCAAACTCCCAGCCAGCAGGCTGGATGAGTCACTCGCTGGCCATGCTCATGTCCAAGTTTTCAAGTTGGGGAGGGGGAGTAGAACATCCAACTCCTTAGCATCAGAGCATGTTAATAATAATAATAATATTATAATAATACTAATGCTCTGATGATGATTTTGAAAAATCCTTCATTACCAAGCACCTAAAAGCCAGGAGCAACATATGTGCCAAAGTTCAAGCTTGTAGACTTTATGGTTCTGGAAATTTTGTGATTCCTGCGTTAGTGTTTTCATGTTTATGTATATAGATTACTAATAAGTTAATAATATGTTCATATAAAAACCATATATAGATATTAAACCAGGCATGGCGAGGTCACTTATAAGGTTTAGTCAATTGAGGGGCACTCAGGATTTGAAGACTGATGTAAATCATTTGCCTTTCAATTACTCCATCCTCATATCTTTCTTTTTGCTATCACATTTTGAAGGAATTGCATTTAGAACCCTTTCAGTTAGTTTTCAGATCTGTAATACTTTAAGAAAGCAGCACTGCTCATGCTTTTTCCATGTGTGGGAGGCATGGTGATTCTCCTCCTTCCTCCGGTGCTGGTTCAGGATTATTATTGATTTGGAGTTGGGGGGGGAGGGTGCAGAGATCTATCATTGCTTTGCAGAATGTGTCAGGGTTTGTTTCTCCCTGCTCCATGTTAACACTTATGTTCACTGGCACAGAGCTACATATCATCAATATGCTGATGATTCTCGGTTGTACAGCTCAGTTCCAGACCCTCCAATGCTGATGAGGTTCTGGGATCTATAGGGATTTAGATGAAGAAAAAAGGCTCAGATTCATCTCTTGTAATGTTGTGGATTGAGGAACCCCAAGGGTATGGAGATTTTTTATCTTTGGTCCTTGATGGAGTAGTACTGCTGCAAACAGATCCAGTGCACAATTTCATGGCTCCTATTTGAAGAGCAGGTGGCAGCTGTGACCTTTTCTACAGCTTTGCCATATGCACCAGTTATATCCACTTCGGAATTGGGAGGCCCTGCTTACAGTCACTTCTGCCTTACTTACATCATAATTGGATGAATACAATGCACTCTACATGAAGCTGCCCTTAGTGACTATTTGGAAGCTCCAGCTGGTTTCTCACTTACATGTACTTCTAATTGTGAGCTGCACTAATAACCATTTGATTCTAGGTACAATTTAAGGTGTTGTTTCTTACCTGTAAATCCTTTCATGGAAACAAAATTAGACTATCGTATTTTTCGGCGTATAAGACACACCTGAGTATAAGACGCAGCAAGGTTTTGAACAGGAAAATTTTTAAAAAAGGTTTTGCAATATGCAAACCTCACAAAATGGCCTGTTTTTCGCAAAAATGGGCCTGTTTTCCCCCCCAAACAAGGCATGAATAGCCTTTAGGGAGCTTGCAGAGTGCTCCTGGGGGAGGGGGGGGGGCAAAAATGAGCCAAAAACGGATCCATTTTTCGTTAAAAAAAGGGCATGGATAGTCTTTAGGAAGCTTATAGAGTGCTCCTGGGTGCTGGAGGGAGAGCAAAAATGGGCCGTCTTATACTATGAAAAATAAGGTACTTATGGCATCATAGTTGTTTAAGCTGTTACTTTTAAAGATTCAAAAGTAAAATATTATTTTATTAAAATGAACCTTGTAAATCTTGTTGTCATATATGGTATCTATAAGTTTTGATTTTTGTTTTGTTCATAAATAGAATGGCTTTTTAATCCCTGCCTAAATAAACAGCAAGATAATTTAGTTTTGAGAAATATTTTCTATAAAAATTATACTTTTGACTATTCTAATAATTAATATATTATCTATTGTTTTTATCTTTATAGCTAACAGAGCAAGAGGTGGAAACTATATTGGACAAGGCGATGGTTTTGTTTAGATTTATGCAAGAAAAAGATGTATTTGAGCGATATTATAAGCAGCACTTAGCAAGGAGGCTTCTGACAAACAAGAGTGTTTCAGATGACTCAGAGAAAAATATGATATCTAAGCTAAAGGTAAGAGCAGTGTAACAATTTCTCAGTGACTTTTCCATTTAGCTTTAATTTTATGATAACATCTATTGAGTGGGATAAATTGAAATGTAATTAATTATTTCAGTTAATTGTAAATGTTATACAATATTAAGCAAGCTATATTTAGTTGAAACATTTTGTTTTTGTCAGAAAAGAATTATTAAGCCATTGTGGTGGAGTGGCTCCAAGTTCAAATCCATTTTCAGCCATGAAATCTCAATGCATTGTACTAGTCACACTCTCTCAGTTCAGCTTACCTCTTATTGTGGGTAGTCTTTACATAAGCCCATGTGCACTCCAGTAAAAATGAAGAATATAAATCAAATATCAATACTACATTAAAAATCTGAAGCTGATAAAATTAATATATTTACTTCCTATGAATGTTGAATATGCATTTACACTGGAAAGATGAGAAATGTTGCAAGAGGAGTCATAGTAAACTATTGAGGGAATCCTAGTGGATAGGGAAGTATTTTTTCTTCAAGCTGCAAGTAACCTCCGTATCCATAGGCCATGTATCCCCCCCTGAAAATAACCCTCATAAAAGGCAAAAATCCTACTCCATCCCCCAACCATAAAAAATTACATTCCTGCTTTTAGTATGTGTTTGAATTAATATGTACCTGCAATGATATTTTAAGGATGATTTATCCTTTTAAAGGGCAAAGTGAATAGTTAATACATTAATTTAGAGAGATTTAATGGGAATATTCCCAATCTCAATTCCATGTTGAATTTTAAAAGATTGGAATAGTACATTCTTATTTTCAGTAAAATTTATTAGAATAATTAGATGTCTGATAATCAAGGTATAAATTAGCATAATTGCCTGTTGATATTTACTGCTAATTAATTAGTGCCTGGAACCAAATATAATGTGTTATTTTTTCATAACTCTCTTAAATTTACTTAAATATTTATATTGACATTCTAAATAACCTAAGAGGTTTCTCTCTGTTTAAATGTTATAAATAATTCTTTCTTTTGCAGACTGAATGTGGATGTCAATTCACATCAAAATTAGAAGGAATGTTCAGGGACATGAGCATCTCAAACACAACAATGGATGAATTTAGACAACATCTACAGGCCACAGGGGTAAGATGCAAATTTTTGACTTATTTTAAGGATTCACAGACTTTTTGACCTGGTGATCACATTTCAAATTTTGAGAAGAAGGTGTCTGAGCCTTTGTCAGGTGTGGCCCTGCTAAGGCATAGTAAATAATTTATTGGGGGGAAAAATCTTAAGAAATCTTGCAAAGGAATTTCTGAAACCACTGGGTATAAAAAGTGCATCATTTATATAGCAAAATCAAAATGTTTATTTTAGTGCCTTTCTTTTTGCCTGAGCTATGCAATAGGCTGGAGAGACCTCTATTTTGGGCATGCGACTGGAGTTCCAATTATATCTTATTTTGGGACAGATTTAATACTAGATTACTTTCCTCTGACTGTATGAAAAGGGTCTCTTAACAACTATTTTGCAGAATGGCTACTCTAAGTGAGGGGCAGACACATTTCAGAGCACCAGTTTCCAGGAATATATATACCAGTGATTGTGAACCTTTTCGGCACTGAGTGCCAAAACCGAAATGTGTGTGCATGCATGTGCATGTGCGCGCACACGCCGGAAACCCAAAGACTAGCTGGCTGGCGTGCATGCACACCAGCCACCTGGTCTTACGTGCACCAGAGCACCGGAAATCCAAAGACCAGCTAGCTGGCGCACATATATCTGTTTTTTGGCTGTTTTTCAGGACAAAAATGGCCCGAGAAATGGCCTGAAAAACAGCCCAGAAACCAAAAGAGCAGAGAGGGCTCTGTTTACCACCTCTGGCACATGTGCCATAGGTTTGCCATCACAGCTGTATACTATTCTATATATTTGGTACTTCTATCATAAATACTTATCTTTCTGAACAGGTACATTTCAAAATTAGGCTCTGTGCTGTGGCCATCTATTTCATATAATCCCCCCAATCGTGTGGTAATTCTGGAACTTGTCTTTTTCTGGATCCAGATGTTGATTTATTGAACTTGCTTGCTTGTATGTTTTTTTTTTTTTAACAAATAACTGAAGGCAGTGAAGTCAAAATAAAAAAAATGAATTTGGCAGGTATAGGAGTTTGGATTTTTTTTAGTTCTTTTTTTAAAATTCAAGATTTTTTATTTTTTAATAATAATTATACATATTATAGGAACAAAGCATTGTCCAGGTCTTTTCTTTTACACCCTCTCATTTACATAGTCCAAATTACATTATAGTTTTGTTTGCACTTTCAGCCAATTTATTCTCTTCTATTATTTTCATCTTTCTTAATATGTAAACAATATCTACAATTGCCCCTTCAAAGTTACATCAAATTTTCATTTCTTATTTTCTCCATTTATATATTTTACTATAAGCAACATATATCTTCTAATTCAATTTAAACATGGAGAGCATTTCTTTCAATTTTTCTACCATTAACAATATACTATAATTTCTTTATTTCTTAATTAATTACATAGCAACAACAATCTTACTACTATTCTCCGTGATCTACTAATGTATCTCTTTTCCACTTTCTTTCTCTTTTAACCATTTTCTCTTGGGCTCTCAAAAATTCCACTTTTAATTCTTTTTCTTCTCCCCCTTTCTCCTAATTTCTTCTCTTTCTTTTTCCTATTTTTGTGGTCATTATATCTTTTCTTCAGAATATTTACATTTATTATTCTAGTAACTTTCCCCAGGGATTTCCCTGTTCTCCTCCATTTCTTACTGTTTTGTGGTTTCTTTTGGGGGGGATCGCCCCCCTTTATCTGCTTTTTCTTTGTGATTGTGAATCTCAATGAAATCTTCTATCTGCATTTTATTTTCATTTTTTCTTTCTTCCACATTATCTTTCTATACCTCATTTATGCCCTCTTTCATCCCCTCTTCTCCTATTTCTTTTTCTGTATGTTCCCTTTGATTTTCTGGCTTTCTTTTTACCAATTAACGTTTCACACGCACTTTTCAGCATCCCAAATAATTTATCATACCTCCAATCTCCATTGTACAAGTTTAACTATTTTAACAGATTTTTAAATTTTTGGGTTATGCCACACTTAACTGCAAATTTGGGATCTTCCAAATTCTAGTACTCAATTTTAAAATTAGTCCAGTCTAGTCCAAATTGGAGTTTTCTTTCTCTTCCACAGCTATAGATAGTTGCAGTCAAAACAATGTTGCAGAAACAGATACTCCTTAACAAATCTAACGGTTTCAAAATATCTTTTTTCCATAGTGAGGGGGGAGGAGTATCCAGATTGGGTTGACCTTGTCCTCTCATGATTGGATTGAGTCAGATAAGCTCTTTGGGCTATGCCCCTTGGCCACTAGGAAGACCCAGTTATCGACTCAATCCACTCAGTAGAGGTTCTACCATTCTGGATCTCCAGCAAATCGCAAGAATTAAAAGGAAAAAATATTTGGACCCGACGAATTTTGCCTCCCTGTACCGCGCAGCCTCCTCCTGCAAGGACTGGACTGCCACAAGCCCCCTGGGGCGGCACACTGGCTTGGCCACTGAGTGAGACGGAGTCACTCAGTGAGGACCTTTGCCGGGCAAGCAGGAGGAGAGGGCATAAGCCTCCTGGAGGCAAGCCCTTGCCACAGAGGCTCCTCAGGAGCAGGAGTGCTCCCACGCTCCCCTCAGGGGTTGAGCAACGAACCGCGGCTTGTTAAAACACCCAGGAGGGCTGGCAGCAATCATGAGAGAACAAGGTGAGAGCCGGAGAGGCTCAGAAAGAGTTGGGGAAGGCGGGGGGGGGCGAGAGAGGGAGCCCTCAGCAGCAGCCACATGGCAGCCTGCAAAAGCACAAGCCATTTCCATGTGCTCCAGCAAAGAGGAGCTTTTTGAATTTCGAGCCGGGGGCCATTTTGAAACCACATAGTCCAAGATGGCAGCCCCCAGCAGCTCAGAGGAGGCCGGGCAGGAGCCGAGCTCTCAGCCCTGCAGCAACAACCACCACTGGAGGCTCTGAGGAGCCCTTAAAAAGGTTAGAGACCATCACAGAGGCATTAGCCAAGGGTGGGGGAGGCAAGCAAAGGCCAAAAGGAGGCATATCTCCATCAAGGATTAAAGCGGC